AAATGTAAAATGATATTAAATTAAGCTCAATTGTGAACTGAGTGTATGTGTGGTGATATGAGTGGAGGAGTGTAACACATGACATTAAAGTAAAGTAAATGCACTCACCGAAGCTGTCAAATCCCGCTGCTTGCGCTAAACGGAGTTCCAGACGCTGCAGAGAGCGTCCGACAAACTGAAGTAAACCCGATAATGACATTATATGCGGTATTTTATTTCAGATTAACGTAACATGTACAGACCTAACCGCCTCACGGTCACAGCCAAAAAAAATGACCTAGTGCGCATGCGCCTTGTCCTGCACCCGTGCATTCTGGGATTTGTAGTACAGCGTTATAAAAATTCAGCTTTATTTCTGAGCGGGTGTGGGCGAAATATGTTCAAAATATATGATTAAACCAACAAATGTTTTAATTAGTACATGATTTTAATTGGTGCCAGGTAAAACAAAACCAAACATCCAACGTTATTTTAAACGTATCCTTAGGCTGCAATACCCACAATTCATTAAGAAACCCAGTAACTCTTTCAGCCAATCAGATCAATTAAGCGCGTGACGTCACTTCCCCAACAGCCAGACGCAGCCATGGCAGAAAGAGGGTACAGTTTCTCCCTCACCACTTTCAGGTAATAAACATCATGATTTTGTTAAATCCAGTGTGTTCATGAAGATCAAACGAGTGTGTGTTTTAGCGGATCGCGAAGCTCGAGTTTTGTGGTGTGCGTTCCGTCAATCAGAGGCGTTATCTCCTTATCCGGCCGCTGATGCAGAGTCACTGTGTTTGTGATGCAGTGCTGATTTTATTCACGTGCATCAACATTCATGAACAAGATGAACTAAACACATAATGAATCCCAGAGCAACAAATTCTACTCTCTCATGGGTGTTTAAAGGACAGGCTGGCCTCGGTTTTGTCTTTGCGACTGCAACTTGCTTCTTTTACTTTCACTTTCTGTGAATCATGGGAAGCTGTTCTTTTATATAACTCCTGAATGCACATGAACATACAGTTTATAATGATCAGTACTGTGTTTTTTTATTATTATTATTATAATAAAGCATAACTAAACAGAACAGTTTTGTGACAATGTAAAAATATAACTTTTTTTTATAAGGACCATTGCATATTTAATAAGCCTCATTTGTATATTTGAAGTCTGTAAATGGGTGAAGTAACAATACAGCACAATGTTTTAACATTAACTCTAGTCAACATGTCAAAATATACTTCACCTTACAATCGCAACACTTTTCTTGTTTTTCTGTTTTCACTTTCACTTTCTGTGAATCATGGGAAGCTGTTCTTTTATATAACTCCTGAATGCACATGAACATACAGTTTATAATGATCAGTACTGTGTTTTTTTGTTATTATTATAATAAAGCATAACTAAACAGAACAGTTTTGTGACAATGTAAAAATATAACTTTTTTTTATAAGGACCATTGCATATTTAATAAGCCTCATTTGTATATTTGAAGTCTGTAAATGGGTGAAGTAACAATACAGCACAATGTTTTAACATTAACTCTAGTCAACATGTCAAAATATACTTCACCTTACAATCGCAACACTTTTCTTGTTTTTCTGTTTTCAGCCCTTCAGGGAAGTTGGTCCAGATTGAGTATGCTCTGGCAGCTGTAGCAGCTGGTGCTCCTTCAGTTGGAATAAAAGGTTAGTCATGTTCTTTTATGTATTTGTTATGTGTGTCTTAACTTTTCATTGTTTATAAAACTTTATGGTTTTAGCATGTGCTTATTGTGAGCTTTTTGAACTGTGTTTATACAGCAAGGAACTTTCATTTTATCATCATTTCGTTTTTCACAGCTTCAAATGGGGTTGTTCTGGCTACGGAAAAGAAGCAGAAATCGATATTGTATGATGAGCAAAGTGTTCACAAAGTAGAGCCCATAACCAAACACATTGGTATGGTCTACAGTGGCATGGGTCCAGACTACAGGTATGGATTTGGAGCCTACATGAACAAACGCTATATAATAATGATTCTTAATATGAAGCATGTGTAAGGCAGTCTTGTAAAAAAAAAAAAAAAAAAAAAGTGTAGTTGACTTTCAGAGCAATTGTTTTAATGTTTTAAAAAAAATTTAAGAATAGTTCACCCAAAAAAGAAAATGTACTCACCCTCAAGCCATCCCAAGATGTAGATGAGCTTGTTTCTTCATCTGACCAGATTTGGAGAAATGTAGCATTACATCACTTGCTCACCAATGGATGCTCAGCAGTGAATGGGTGCCGTCAGAGGAGAGTCCAAACAGCTGATAAAAACATCACAATAATCCACAAGTAATCCATACCACTCCAGGCTATCAATAAATATTTTGTGAAGCGAAATACTGCATGTATGTAGGAAACATCCATTATTAAGGTGTTTTAACTTAAAACTCAAGTCAAAATCCATAATAACATTCCTCTAATTAAAAAGTCCATCCCCTGTTTGTCCTCTCACATTAAAATGCTATTTTAGACAGTGCTTGATCTGTGCATATTTCTCTCCTGATTCAGAAGAGACCATTTTTTCACTGGAGAAAGCAATATTATGGTTTATGGACTATCTATTTAGGCCGAAAATAACAGTTTGAGGTTAAAAACGTCTTGATGGATTTGTTTATTATAAGCATGCTACTTTTTGCTTCACAAGACATTAACTGTTGGACTGGAGTCATGAGGATTATTGTGATGTTTTTATTGTGACCCATTCACTGCAGAGGATCCATTGGTGAGCAAGTGATCCATTGCTAAATTTTTCCAAATCCATTCCAATGAAGAAACGCACTGATCTGCATCTATGATGTTTGCCTGTGGCTGAGTCAATTTTCAGTAAAAATTTTGGATTTTTCATATTGTCGTAATTATAATATAAAGGTGGGATTATGGCAAAGATAAGATGCTCAATAAGAGTTGTTGTAATGGGTTTTTATCATGTTTTGCAGGGTTCTGCTGCGAAGGGCACGGAAGCTGGCTCAGCAGTACTTCCTGGTCTATCAGGAGCCGATTCCTACAGGCCAACTTGTTCAGAGAGTGGCTTCTGTTATGCAGGAGTACACACAATCAGGGTATGTGTGAAATGTCTCCGTTGCACAATTTACCACTGTTACAATTGTTCTGGAAGTTGCCCTACAAACAGCTCTTTTGCAAAATGTATAACAATATGCATGTACCAAATTGACAGTGGCATAACATGCAGATTTTGTCATGTTATTGTTTAAACACAGAGGTGTTCGGCCATTCGGTGTGTCACTCCTGATTGCTGGCTGGGATGAAGACCGTCCATACCTTTTCCAGTCAGACCCCTCGGTATGCTTGCTATTCATTTCATTTATTGTATTAGTGTAATCTTTAAATTTGAACCGAAAATAATTGTCTCTTAAAATGTAAGCTCTTTTATTATGCACTGTATTAGAAAAATAAGATGGACTTTGATCTGTTTAAGGGAGCATACTTCGCATGGAAAGCCACAGCGATGGGGAAGAACTATGTGAATGGGAAAACATTCCTTGAAAAAAGGTATAAAATGTAATAACTGAAAGCATAAGACCCTTTTAGTCTTCCTAAACGTACAGCATCTCATTGGTTTCATTTTCCTGTTTTAGGTACAATGAGGATCTGGAACTGGAAGATGCGATTCACACTGCTATTCTGACTCTTAAGGTAATAATTATACAATTTTATTATAAATATACAACCCAGCCATGTTTGCTAAAGGTCTGTTAATTGCAGTAATGTATTAGATACCGTTATTATTTGCATACAAGATCCAAGATTAACTTTTGTCTAAAATATTTGGTAGCCGTGAAACGGTCTGTTGCATTGTAAAATATTGTTTCCCTATAGGAATTACATCTCTTTATCTAGCTGTTTTTCATTGTGCATTGGTGACAAACGAGCTAGAGTCAATATCGCACTGTAACTGTCACAAAGCTTGACGTTTTATTTATTTGCTAAAGCCTCAAAATGACTTGCTGAATATTTATTTCATTTGTATTATGCATTGCATTAATGTCAAACATCAATGTTAACTATGACTACTTTTGTTACAGGAAAGCTTTGAAGGTCAAATGACTGAGGACAACATTGAGGTGGGAATCTGCAATGAAGCAGGATTCAGGCGACTGACTCCAGCGGAGGTGAAAGACTATCTAGCCGCCATTGCTTAAATCATCTTTTCAAGTTGTAGATTGAGCACTGATTGTCTTCTTCATAACTTCATTAGTACATATTCATGAGTTTGAGCAATGTAAAGGCATGGAAATAAGTGAAAGTTGTATTGTTTATATTTAGCTTTTCTGTCTTACTGAAGGAAAAAATAAACAAGTCTTTTAAAATTCTTTTGAGTGTTTCCATTTGTTCTGTTGTGCAGTGTTTTAGATATGAGCAAACTGCATAAAAGAGGACTGAGGAGGATACTTAACATTTGGTTTTATAACATTAACTTCCATCTGAAATGACAGTTATTATATACATATATATCTGGCTTCTGTGTTTGAAGGTCCAAAAACAAGCTCATTGGGGGGGGGTTGGCCTGCGTCAGCCAATCAGAATCTTGAGCGCCGCGTCACTTATAGCGCGCCAAAAAATGAGCCGGTACTCCTTTCCAACAGTATTCTTACGCAAAAGCGGATACTTTTATAGATAAAAGCCTCAACGTTTTTATCAGTGAAAGGTCCAGCAATTTCCGTTTTATAGTTTAATCATATCCATTTGAATAACACATTTAAATTTGAACAAGAAAATTAGTTGTTTGCGCGGCCATTCGCTTAAACGGCTCTAGTTTCTGTCTCGCCAGCGCATTCGTATTATGCGTTGTGTCCTTTGACTGAAAGTGACGTTTGTGGCGCCAGAAATCAAGGAGGAGTGGGGTTCATTTTCAAAACGATGCGTTATCGCTCAAAGTACTCGGCGTATTAAAAGCTTGACAAAAACTTTTTAGAAGTGAGTTTGACAGCGAATGGTCTGAGGGTCTTAAAACGCTCGTAAAAGATGGTGATGTTACGCAGTAACGGTGATATGGACTCCAGCTCGGAGTTTCTCTCTCTAAAACCGCCTCAGAGAAAGTCCGCGCGGCTGAAAAAGGCCCATGATGACAGTTTAACAAGCGCAGAGGACAGTCCGGCTAATGTGAGTTAATGTCTCTTCTTTACAAGTACTAATATGTTAGTAATTTTTTTTGTTTACCTATTTTACCTAGTAAAATATTCGCGGTAACAAAACAAAGCTGGGTGTTAAAAGAGCGCGGGATGCTTGAGTGAACTGCATGAGCGCGCGACCTGTTAACGTAACTTAACTGTTACAAAACCAAAACAAATAAGTTGATGTGCAATGTTACATCGGATATACACCGGTAATAATGTATATAGAGTATGTCTGCGGGAGTATTTTATGATTCAAAAATGCTTTCTGCATTTCTGTAGATGGATGGGTAAGTTAGTTGGCAACGCAGAGTAAGAATTTACTTTTATTGGCAAAGCAAGTTATGGCTCACTCTTACACTATGCATAATATATACACTTTAGCCATTTTAATCACCTGCAAATAGTAATGTGGTGTGACACTTATGAAAAGTGCAAATAATTATTGTCAACGTATAGAATGTGAGGTCCTGCAAATATAGTTAGAAGAAATACTGTTTAAAATGGTTATATATAGAGTATAGCATGCCAGACACTGCTACGATGTATGCATGATCAATTTTTAGGGATTTTTGACTCTAAAGGAGGACAACAACATGAGGAGCAGAGCTCAAAGAGGAAGACATATGGTCACCTTTGCTGATATGAATGGACAAACAAGCAAATCTCCTCCAAAAGATGAGAAAAGTGAGAGGCATTTAAGGTGGGAGTGTCATGGTTTGATTTCTTGTCCTTTTATATTTGTTTAATCATTAACCATCTGTTATACTGTATTTACTAGATGTTATTTGTTAATCTGTGTATTCTATTATTTATTTATTCATAGAAAATCTCCAAGACTTCAGGCAGAGGGGGAGAGGTCGGCAGATGAGCGTGAAAAGGAATAAACCTCCACAAATTCGTGACGTGTTTTCTAAAAGTCTAAACCGTTTTAACTTTGCATGGCTTTCTATAAATCTCTTGTGTGACGCGAGTGCAGCAGTTATATTTGTCCATCTAGAAAATGCGCTGAATATGCATTCTGTGTGAATGGCTTTGTTTCGGTTTTAACCTAATCAAGATCTTCTACACATTGAGCTAATACATTTCTCTAATATTTTGAATGAATAACACAGCAGCGCCACACAAAAATGTCATTTACATCATCATCACCGCATCTTGTGCTCCACTGATGAAGCTCCCTGACGCACACCTAACATTCGATTGTACTATTTTTGCATTCAAATGCAAATGTTTATTTTTTACGGAAGGAGGATTTGTTGGGAATCCACAAGGACAGGATTAAAATTGGAGCAAGTCTTGCAGATGTTGATCCAATGCAAATTGACCAAACAGTATGTATTTGCCATTTGAATTGAAATTCAAAAAATGTACAGACCTATGTTTGACTGTTTGGTTTCCATGTGCAGGTGCGCTTTGACAGCATTGGAGGTTTGGGCAAACACATCTCTGCATTGAAGGAGATGGTTGTGTTTCCTTTACTCTACCCTGAGGTCTTCGAGAAGTTTAAGATTCAGCCTCCAAGGTATGCAAAGCGATACTGATAAATATTACATTAAAATGCCTATTTGGATGACTGATCAGTGGTTTTCAAAAATGAGAGGTAATGCTAAATATCACCTTTTGCAGAATGTATGTTGATTGAATGCTATGTGTTTCCAGAGGCTGTCTGTTCTACGGCCCTCCTGGCACAGGAAAGACTTTAGTAGCTCGGGCCCTAGCAAACGAGTGCAGTCAAGGTGAGAGGAAGGTGGCGTTCTTCATGAGAAAAGGAGCAGACTGCCTCAGCAAATGGGTGGGCGAGTCTGAGAGACAGCTCCGCCTCCTGTTTGACCAGGTTGCCCACATTTAAACGTAACTTAATTTAAATTTCATTTAAAAATGGTCATTCATGAATGCCTAATTTTGTCTAAATATTTTATTTTTAAAGGCATACCAGATGCGTCCATCAATTATTTTCTTTGATGAAATTGATGGTATTGCACCTGTTCGGTCCAGCCGGCAAGACCAGATACACAGGTGTGTTAGTCTGTGTTTCTGCATTGTTTTTTTGTTTTTTTTTAATCTTTTCTTGCCATCTTGATATGAAACTGTTTGTTTATGTTGTCTGAAGCTCCATCGTGTCCACTCTGTTGGCTCTCATGGATGGGCTAGACAGCCGGGGTGAGGTGGTTGTTATTGGAGCCACTAACCGTCTGGACTCCATCGATCCTGCACTCAGACGGCCTGGACGATTTGACAGAGAGTTTCTCTTCAACCTACCAGACAGAGAGGTAGGAGTTTGGAGCTCTGTTGTTGGCTGCCTTAGCCAGTGTTTATTTGCGACTGCAGGTTTTTTTTTTGTTATAAAATAACCTACAAGACATTGTTGCTGATTTGTAGGCTCGCAAAGATATTTTGAAGATTCATACTAGGCAGTGGGACCCGCAGCTGTCTGATGTGTTTCTTGAAGAGTTGGCTGACAAGTGTGTTGGTAAGAGCTTTTCCGGTTCCACTATGTGAAACGACCTGATGAGTGCATCTCGCATAACAGCTTACCTTTGTCTCAGTTTTCTCAGTGCCAACACAGAGGCTGGTGCTTTCCAACACACCTCTAGAACATGCTGTATTTGGGTTTTAAGTAGCAGTGTTATGTAACATTCTGCTGTTCTAGTATTCCCACTCTCTAGCACTCTCAATTCTGGCATTTACAGAGCTCTCCGACTGTCTCATCCTGTCCAAGTGGGCAGTTCTTATCCAGAATAAACTGCACAATCATCCCTGATTGTATACCAATAGTCAAAACTCTCCCTGTGCTTTCAGGTTATTGCGGCGCAGACATCAAAGCTGTGTGCTCAGAAGCAGCTCTCTGTGCCTTGCGTAGACGCTACCCCCAGATCTATGCGTCCTCCCAGAAACTCTTGCTGGATGTGGAGTCCATCAGCGTGAGTGGCCGGGACTTCCTCTCTGCCACGAGGAAGATAGTTCCAGCTTCACAGAGGGCAGTGGCCTCTCCTGCTAAAGCACTCACGCCTGTTATTGAACCCCTGCTGAGCTCTGCCCTCAATAACGCCATGGAGATGCTGCAGAGACTCTTTCCTCATGTAGAGCAGGTACTCAAGAAGAAAAGAGATGCTGGTAAAGACAACTATTTTTATCACTCATCCCCATAGTAGTGCCACTCATGTTTTGTTTAGGAAATGTAAAAATCTAGTTTGTATTTTTAAATTAATGTTCAATGCAAGTAGTATTGTCACAGTACCAAAATTTCAGTATTCGGTACCGATACCAGTGAAAATCCATGGTTCTCGGTACCAATTTCGGTACCAAAGCAAAACCCAAAAACATGCTAATTGAACAACATTTTTATTAATAATGTTAAACAAAAATTAAATGTACAAAACCAATGCCATTCTTTATACTTATTTAAAAGTGTTTCAAGTTTTCCCACAAGTAATAAAAGTATGAAAAAAGTAAACAAGTTTCACCCAAAAGTTTAGTCATAGTTCTGCTGCCACTGAAAAATATCTGTAAACTGTTGTCTGTTTTAGGGTTTGTTGGTGTGTTTCAGGATCTTCCTCAGTCTGCAGTTGTAAAAGGAAAATATAATATACTTAAGTAAAGCAACGGGCTGAGTCTGACCAAATGCAACATAAGATCATTGACACCAGCTAAAATATAACTTTTCAGTAAATAACAAACCTCAGCTTTTATAATAAATTTAGATAAGATTACATATATTAACTGTATATCAAATAGACGCAAACTGTAGTATTAAAAACAATACAATAAGACAATACAACAATTTACAATAAGATTTTATTTGTTAGATAACATGACCTAACAATAAACAATAGTGATATGGCAATTATTCTTCTTAGGGTTAATTTCAAAGTTCAATCTGTTAAAATTATTTAATGCACAATGAACAAACATGAATGATCAAGTGTTTGTATTAAATAACATTCACAAACATTAATGAATATTTTTTAAAAATATATATTGTTCACTCACTGTAAGATGTTACTAGATCTAACATTGTACAGTAAAGTCTATACAGGAGATCAAATTTGACTGTACTTTTATTTAATCCAAACTGTTCATATTTCCATCCTGCTAGAGATATTCAGCCAAGAATTACAACTAACTGACAAAAAAAAAAAACTTTTTCTGACAGACTGATATGATATAAACACTGTTAACCATACATTTGTACACTCTCTAACACGCATATTTTGGTTACACAGTTAATTTAAAAGCCGATGGTGTGTAAAAATAGTAAATACCATTATGTCCTCCTGTTTTTTACGGTAATAAAAGTTATAGGAGCATTAAATAGTTAACAGAAATAATTTTGAACAAAATGAACACAATTCATTCTAATGCTCATATTAGCGTTAGCCGCGTTTATGCTAATGATTAACTAAGTATATGCTAACGGCGAGGTTTATTTCAATCCAAAATTTTAATTAAAATATGGAATAATATTCATTACAGAAGCTCTAAATATTAAAATTGAAACTTACCTGCTTGAACTTGTTCGGGGTGTTTTGTTAGTTTGATGCGTTTTGATGCATTCCAGGGGCTAAATATCACGTTAATGGGGTCGTTTTTCAACCCGCGGAAATGAAAAACAACCCGCGGCAACAGTGTTAAGCAGCCCAATTCCGCGGGAAAACCGCGAACTTGGCAACACTGGAAGAGGATAGCTTTCGTTTAGCGCATCAAGAACCGGGTTGACCGGGTACTCGGTACCACCGGTACTTAAAAAAACCTGGTACCGTAACGTTTTCTTTTTTTTTTAGTACCGACTTGGTACCGAAATACCGGGTCTTTTGACAACACTAAATGCAAGTAAATATTTTCTATTTTAGAGGGTTTGTCTGGCATCTTAGATGATCTACTACAGAGTGAAGATGAGGGGTCCTCTGTGTGCATTACTAATAAAGGCCAGAAGAACACTGGACCGTCTGCATCTGCGCTTCATCTGAACAGGTTAGAAATGCGATGAACTGACGTCTGTGCTGACTTATTCATTCTAATGCTCATATTAGCGTTAGCCGCGTTTATGCTAATGATTAACTAAGTATATGCTAACGGCGAGGTTTATTTCAATCCAAAATTTTAATTAAAATATGGAATAATATTCATTACAGATTCATTACATACAATATTCATTACAATATTCATTACAGCTCTAAATATTAAAATTGAAACTTACCTGCTTGAACTTGTTCGGGGTGTTTTGTTAGTTTGATGCGTTTTGATGCATTCCAGGGGCTAAATATCACGTTAATGGGGTCGTTTTTCAACCCGCGGAAATGAAAAACAACCCGCGGCAACAGTGTTAAGCAGCCCAATTCCGCGGGAAAACCGCGAACTTGGCAACACTGGAAGAGGATAGCTTTCGTTTAGCGCATCAAGAACCGGGTTGACCGGGTACTCGGTACCACCGGTACTTAAAAAAACCTGGTACCGTAACGTTTTCTTTTTTTTTTAGTACCGACTTGGTACCGAAATACCGGGTCTTTTGACAACACTAAATGCAAGTAAATATTTTCTATTTTAGAGGGTTTGTCTGGCATCTTAGATGATCTACTACAGAGTGAAGATGAGGGGTCCTCTGTGTGCATTACTAATAAAGGCCAGAAGAACACTGGACCGTCTGCATCTGCGCTTCATCTGAACAGGTTAGAAATGCGATGAACTGACGTCTGTGCTGACTTGGTGCATATGGGGAAGCATAAGAAATTTTCTAAGAGTCTGATGTTTTATTGTGGCAAATAATGTTCTGTTATCCCATTTAAAGGACCGACGTGAGTGATATGAAGTGTCATGTACACAATTTCCCTTTTGTTGACTTAACTCTTCATATGTGGTTTCACTCACTCTGTACAGATATGAGTTCACAGGAAGCCTTGTTATGAGATCAAATATATCATATGTAAGATTTCAAAGACAGGATGTAATTTTTCTAAATCCAGTTTATCATCAGCAACAGTTTTTCTTAATCATGCCTATATATATATATATATATATATGTATATAAATAACATTAGGTAAACGTCCAATTTTAATTAGATTATTATTCTAATAAAAAAATTACTAATTGTTATTTTATATTTTATCACATTGATTGTAAAAATTATGCTAATATTATTATTGTGCCAACTTGGACAAATAATTTCGCTCTAATGCATTCTAGGATTTGCCTGAAAAAAATATTATTTTTTTTTCTATATCTTTGTGTTGCTACTTAGTTTTTGTAACATTTTTCTTATTAGGAATGTGCCTATATGATGCCTTTTAATGCTGTGTTGGTAGGCATCTCAGCAAGAATTTGAGGCAAAGCTTGAAACTTCAAAATATAGCTTAAGAATTTCACTGATGACAGTAGGGAAACATGTTCAGCCTGTGGTATATTTTGTGTTGTTTTGACCTGCCTGTCATCGCTGTGCTTCATTTCTTTCATTACATGTATTATAGGAGTGCCCTGCAGCAGCCCACCTCATTCAGACCCAGACTGCTGCTCTGTGGGACATCAGGCTCTGGTCAGACCTCACACTTGGCTCCTGCTATTCTCCACGCCCTGGAGAAGTTCAACGTTTATACACTTGATGTTGCTGTGCTGTATGGGGTCAGTTCAGCCACCCCAGAAGAGGCCTGTGCACAGGTGAACACATAGAATTTATAGTAAAAATCAAGATACATGGATAAACTTGTTTTATTAAATGACTGTCGATCTGTATTGTACATCAGGTTTTCTGTGAGGTGAGGAGAACCGCCCCCAGCATTCTGTATATTCCACACATTCAGTGCTGGTGGGACACTGTGAGCTCCACTTTAAAGGCTACATTCATCAGTCTCCTACAGGACATTCCTTCATTCTGCCCCTGCCTCCTCCTCGCCACATGCAGCTTTCCTCACCACACGCTCTATGCTGAGGTACCATATGTACTTTATAAACAGTACTGGAGCTTGTTTGGCTTAAAGAGTAAATAAAATGGCAGTTGTGATGCATTTTATCTTCTATAAAGTTATTGTATAACATATTTTTTTTTATTGTTTACCTGTTTAAAGGTGCAGGACCTTTTCCATGTTGAGTATGGGGAAGTGTTCGATGTTCCGCTTCCATCTCGGGAGGAGAGGCACAGATTCTTTGAGGATCTAATTTTAAATCAAGCTGCTAAAGCACCGGCGTCTAAGAGAGATGCAGGTGAGTATTTTTTTCTGTAATGTTTTTCACATTGTTGATATTTTCATGCACATTTGTGATAACTCCTATTTTCTTCTTAGTCCTCCAGGCACTGGAGGTGTTACCGGTGTCCCCTCCACCACCTCCCCGCCAGCTCTCTGAGCAGGAGATGCAGAAGCTAGAGGAAGAGGAAGAGGGCACGCTCAGGGAACTCCGCCTCTTCCTGCGGGATGTCACCAACCGACTGGCTCAGGACAAACGCTTCAAGGCCTTTACAAAGCCTGTAGACACAGAGGAGGTAAGGCGAAGATGGCCTTCTGTATCAACTCTCTCCAGCTGTTGATATTTGTGAACCAGTGCCTTCTTCTCAATTAGTTTTTTTTGTTTTTTTTTGGGCAGGTTCCCGATTACACTACAGTCATCAAACAGCCTATGGACCTGTCCACAGTTCTCTCCCAAATTGATTTGCACAAGTATGAAACTGTGGTCGCTTACCTGAAGGATGTGGATCTGATCTGGCAGAACGCCCTAGAGTACAACCCAGACAGAGACCCCTCAGGTAGGCTGAGAATTTTAGATATGAAATAGAAAACCGTTCTATATCTGCATGATTGCAGATGTGATATTGACTTTATACAATAGTTGAATAAAAAAATGTAATATTGTGTTATCTTTTAGACAGTATTTTCTTTTTTGCTCCATTTCACAAATGAAAAATAGTTCCAAACAAAGCCACAGTTGAACTGTTGTGCATCTCGGAGCAACACACATCTGTTTCATTACTGAAAGAGTCCACGGTTTGGAGCCAATGATTCAGTGACCCATTCATAAAGAAAGTCACTTGTTTTGTTTTTGAATGAATCAGTCATTTGAAGGAATCAGTTAAAAAAAAATTATTCACTCATTAAGATTTGCCGCCACCTACTGGCAGTTTGAGTGTAATATTGTTTTACAATATTACTGTTTATATTGTATATTTGATTAAATATATAGTTCAGTCATGAAACTCTAGATGGTGCAGGCTGACGGGTTGTTAACGTAACTGATGATATTCAGAGAGTTAAACGACTTGGCAGTTGGCACAAGCTGATTGGTTCATGCTGCATATGCAGCCAATGAGCTTACTGCCTTGCATTTATATGGCTGGCTAGCATTCACTTGAGATTCCTGCAGCGTGCTTTCAGAGTTTCTCTGAAACCCTCCACCTTCCCCAGCTCCACCTGTATAGATCTGCTACAAGCTATTTTATTTGCTATTTGTGCAGCAGCAGTATGTCTTAAATACTCACAGCACCTTATCGCCATATGCATTGGCAGTAGCAAGTTCCTGTACTTGCTTGCAGCAGCAGCAATAATCTACAACTACAGCAATAACCAACAGCAGCATAGCATGTGGTGCTCGTTGTATTTTAAAACACAATTGCAATGTTAGCTTAATTATTTAAGTCAGATATATTTCGCATATATATTTTTTTTTTATGAAAACTAATTATTTTTATTTTAGGCCTATTACTTACATAGGCTATACATTTTCCTTAAAGCATCCCATTTTGTCCTAGGGCTTGAAAACCTATGCCCTAGGCTAGTTAGGTCCATGTAGAAACTTGTGAATGATGCTTGTAGTTGTGGCATCACCGTTTAGTGACATCATTGAATGCTCCAGGAAAACGTATAGTCAGTGTCGGTCACAGCGCCTTTTAATTGCTGTTTTGAATCCAGCTATTATTTATTTACAGATTATGACGAGTGTGGTATAAAAGCTTTGTTTATGAAAGGAATAATTGGTTAGCTGGAAAATGTTACATCGTGACCATTCTTTTATTTGAGCCCATATAGCCTACACTTATGAGGCTTTGTTCTGGTTTGCTGGTTGGTCACGAATTTACACAAATTAAATAATATTTAGGCATTGTTTCTTTTCCTAAATCCTCACCGTCTAACCCTCTAATTTTGCAGATTTATTTTATTGTTGTTCACTTTTTATCACTGTTTTCATATCTCTTACTGTGGTAAACATGCGGGAAGGGAAATGAAAGGTTTCATGGCCGTAAATTAAGAATTTGTTCGATGTATTAATTTGTTCCCTCATTTTAGTTAAATCATGGGTTATTTAAGGAATTGCAGATTTATTTTATTGTTGTTCACTTTTTATCACTGTTTTCATATCTCTTACTGTGGTAAACATGCGGGAAGGGAAATGAAAGGTTTCATGGCCGTAAATTAAGAATTTGTTCGATGTATTAATTTGTCCCCTCATTTCAGTTAAATCATGGGTTATTTAAGGAACAAAATGAATGAAACATGGACAGTGGCCACAAATTAGTCGTAAAAGTCATAGGAACGAATTAAGTTAACAAGCCTATCTGTCCTGTGTGCCGCAGCCCTGCAAAGCACAGAGCCTGATATGAAACAATTATCTGGGAAAGTTACTTAGTTGCTACAATTCTATTGCTTTCCATGTTGAAGAACTTTGTGTTGTTTCTATTTTAATGTACTTTTAAAATCACGTTAAAAGCTTAATTTGTACCGCTCGCATGTGTTTTGCGCATGAGCCACACGCAGCCCAAAATTTAATAGCTTAATCAACCATCGATAGCTTTAATCGATTGCATCTCTTATCGACAATTAATCGATCATCAATTAATCATTGACATCCCTAGTCAGTAATAAAATTAAGTAAATTAAGAGTGATATTGTCTTTTTCAATATCAATATTGTTTGATTTACAAGAAAAAAATTTTAGCATTGACTTGTATACTTAATATTTTACCAGTACTTTTGGCATTAAGTTAGATTGGTAGGCTTTCTTTCATGTGGGCTGTGAGTGAAATATTTTGTCTATCCACAGCTTCACAGATGAAAAAGAAGAGGAAAAACCGATGGAAAAATGGATTCATCCGCAGAAAGAAGTCTTGCTCAAATTTGAACTCTAAAGACAACCATAACACAGCAGAATCAGGAGACGAAGATGAGGAAGAAGAGGAAGATGGAAAACTTTCTGAGAGTGAAGATGCCGAGAAGATGAAAGATGTTGAATGTGAGTCAATGGAGACTGATGGCTGCGCTCGTACAGAGGAACCCACAGAATCCACTGCTGTAGCACAGAATTACAACATCCCTAACGAAGGACAAGAACCTGATAATACTGCCTCTGCAGAGGACGAGGTCGTAAATGTTGAGACCATCCAGAATAATGCCACTGATGGCCACAATGATGTCCAAGAATCAGAGAGCAGTGAACCTAAGAGGACAGAGCCAAGTGCAGAGAACAACACAGGAACAGGTTAGCAAATCACACACACAAAAAAATTAGCATTTAATTTTATAACATTTGTGGTGTTTCTGGGAGCATAAAGCAGTACTTGAGTTTGCATGTGATTTTCAGAGTTCAGGCTGAAGCGGATGACAAGAGGTTTTAAGACGCAGGCCGAACAGCAGAGTCTCATCAGTGTGGATGCTGCCATGAAGATCCTGGAGCAGAAGAATATGCCTCTTATCGTGGACCACAACAAACTGAAAGTAAGTCAGATATCTTCCTCTAACTGCAGGAAAAAATACAGATAGTGGGAAAACTAAAGAGGTAGTGTGCAATAACTTGACTTCTACATTGGAAAGGTGTTTTCAATCTCTGTTTTCAGGAACTTCTACAGAGAGTTATGGACATGACGGAGGGATATGAGGTCAGTCAGCTGGAGAAACTTTATGCTCTGCTGTGTCAGAGCATTTATAGACACAGGAAAGATTACGACAAAACTGCGCTTATACAGGTACATTTAGATGATGCAGTAATACATCCTGCTTCCTTATTCTGTTGTTTGTACAGTAAATGAAAACTTGCTAGTTGTCATTAACCAATGTTTTCTATATATATATATATTTATATAATTTAAATATAATAAAGCTTATTAACTTTATCTGCCTATTTAACATATATGTTCTTTTATTTTCCAGGAAATGTCAAAAGAAGTTGAAGAGTTTTCCTAGTTTTCTTTTTATAAACAAACTACAATATATTTCTTATAAGAACTGCTCTATGAATTATATTTCATGTTGTGCATATCTGTTGGCACTTTTTCAAGCTTTGAACTGCAGTTGTTTTTATTTAATGTGACAAATCCAGTTGTATGTGCCATAATATATCGGCCTCCTAGCTATAAGGACATTATTGGGGAGTTCACTGATTTTTGTAATAAAATTGTATTGAAGTATGATAAATTATTGTTAGTGGGTGATTTTAACATACATGTGTGCTGTCCTACAAATCCATTGAATATAATTGATTCTGTTAATCTTATACAGCATGTGCATAAACCCACTCATGTTCATGGTCATATTTTAGACTTGGTTTTGTCTATTGATGATGTTGAAATATCAGATTAAGTTTTTTCAGACCATAAGTCAATTATTTTTAAGACGTCGATATCACATAAAATAGTAAAACCCAGAGATCAAAGTTGACCACGACGGGTTTTAAATGTTAAAGCTGTAGAGCAGTTCAAAAATGTATTTTATGAAATCAATCCTTGTTATTTAGTGGACAGTTTTTTTTTTCTTTAATATGGATTTGGATTCCTCACGCGATGCGTTATATTCTATTTGTTTGCCCTTTTTGGACTCTGCACTTAATCCAAAATCTGATTTGTTTTCTGACCCTCCAATTATTACTTGTGGGACTTTTTTGGATTATTTTGTTCAAAAGATCTCCGATATTAGATCTTCGATCAAACCTGGTTTGTTTGACCCTTCAGTTGTTTGCCTACCATCTGTTGGTTTTGACCATTTTGAACTTATTTCTCTGCAATCACTAGCTAACGTAATCAGCCAGCTAAAACCAACTGATTTTTCACTTGAAACAGGCATTTGATGTTCTTCGCCCCAGTATTTTATCTATAATTAATAAATAGCCTTTTAACAGGAGTAGTCCCTAATCAGTTTAAACATGCTGTTGTTCAGCCAATTTTGAAAAAAACACATTTGGATCCTGCTGCTGCATCAAATTATCGGCCAATCTCAAAGTTACCTTTTCTATCGAAGGTTTTAGAGAAGGTGGCTTTTAATCAGTTACATACTTTTTTTTTGCTTCAAAATGGCTTTTTTTTTATTTTTCGGCCAGGCTTTAGGGCAGGGGTGCCCAACCCTGCTCCTGGCGATCGACTGTCCTGCAAAGTTTAGCTCCAACTCTAATCAAACACACCTGCCTTTAATGTTTAAGTGATCCTGAAGACCTTAATTAGTTGCTTCAGGTGTGTTTGATTAGGGTTGGAGCTGAACTTTCCAGGACAGTCGATCGCCAGGAGCAGGGTTGGGCACCCCTGCTTTAGGGCTTACCATAGTACTGAGTCGGCTTTGATTAGGGTTTTAAATGAATTATTGACTGCAGTTGACTCGGGGTCCTCCAGTTCTTGTTTTATTCGATACCATTGACCATGAGATTTTACTCTCACGGCTTGAAAAGGGGGTGGGAATCCATGGTATAGCGCTTACATGGTTTAAGTCGTTTCTTTCAAACAGGACTTTTTCTGTAAATGTTGGTCAAGATTACTCACAACCTGTCTCTTTACTTAGTGGGGTTCCACAGGCAATTCTTACTGTCTTTTAAACCAAGCATATAGTTTGGTAATGGTACAAACATCTCATCTACTCTGCCTAAAGTAGTTGTGTGTTGTAATCACTTGTGGCTTCTACTTTTCTGGTTCTGATGAAATCTAAAAGAAGCTAGTAGGAAACGGGGAAAATTCCACTTGAATCTATGCAGACATGCATGAGGGTCACGTGACAGCACGTTGACTCTGATTGGACCGTTTCATAGTTTGGAGTTTGTACGTTTCTAAAGTCAATGCTCTGGTTTCGTAGCGCATGGACAATTTTGAAGTCCACAAGTGTGTGCATTGCCCCCGTACAAAGTCCTGTGTGAGTGTCTTAGTTACATTAACGTCCAAACATGTTGTTTTAACGTAGATTTTACGTGACGGCGGGGAGTCGCCTGGCGATGATGTCACGACGTATAACACTGACAGCGGTGACGCCTGATGATCATTAAAAACTGCCATTAAAATGAGCGCAGATGATTATTGTGTTTACTGAGAGACACATAAAACAGCAGCGCAGTGTGCCCTGCCGAGTAACTTAACAGAGACATCCGATCGGCGTGGCATCTGTCCGGTCCATCCAGCGTTCCCCCCCTGTACGTGCGGCGAGTCTCGGTCCGCCTCGCCTCCGCTCTTCCTGTCGCTGAACCGGAGGATACTCGCACCCAGAGCGGCGATCTGACACTGAACCCCGCGGCCGGTGAGTTCCATCGCATCCCTGAAGCTCCCTCACTAACAAAAGGTACCGTGCTTTTATGTTGTTTTATTCTTTGTAGCATGGTAATAATACCATAGTAATTTTCTGAGCAACCTTGGGGTACCATACATATACAGTGTATCGTGGTACAGTGATGTCTGAAAACACCATAGTGCTTTCCTGAAATGCATGTACCAGTACCATGGTACCCAAAGGTAGTTCGCTAAATACCATGGTAAAATGATAACGATTAAGTTATTGATTATGGTAATTTATTATCATGGTTTTATCATCTGCGCCAACAGTGCATCATGGAAGCGCCACAGTGTTTTAAGAGTGCGCTCAAAACGCCCCTAACACGTCTGACATTTCTCAATCTACATCTGAACTAATTGTCCAATGGTGACGCATATTATATAGTGACACAAAAGGACCGGATACATTAACAATGGTTAATGCATTGTCATTTATATCATTTATTAGTCTTAAATGTTAATTTCTAAACGCTCGGCTTTTCATTTTCAATTCATGTTATTTCTTAATGCAATATTTAAAGTAAACATGCACAACTTTTAATGTTAGAAAGTTATGGAAAATAACTTTGACCCTTTAACCTTTTCATTTATTATTATTAGTAATATTTGTATTAATTATATAAATCTTTTTAACTTTTTTTTTGTGTGTCTGGGAGCTTATTTTTAATAATCTATAATTGCAGTCTTATATTTTGGAGTTATTGGCCGTTTTTATTTCATGTCCAGTGATTTTGAATCTGATTTTTAGGTTTAGAAAAACTTAAATGAAAAACTACACATTCAGCAGAAATGGATATCTGACAGCTGTAGGTCACTACAATGTATGCAGATGCACTAAACTTATAGGGCTATAGATAAATATGTAAAATGTTAGATAACAGATATTAAGGCTCACATTAACTGATGATTAATGTATTGTTAACGTATACAGCCTTACTGTAAAGTTCTACCTAGATTCTGCCGTGTTAGATTAGCATTGAATTCTAAATAATTGACTTTAACAGTGGAATGCAGAAGAGGACTACACTTGTGCGGTAATTTGATCTAGTGTGTTTATGAATGCATCAATAAATGTTTTTAATTATAGGTCAACTGTCCCATGTTTACATCATAACCAGTGTCTTGCATGTGTATTTTGTTTCTCTGTGTCTTTCAGGATGTTGAGTTCAAATCTTGGAATGGGACTAATGTTTAACATGTAAATTCAACCTCCTAAAGGTTCTGGCCAGTTTATATTTTCTTTTTCACATTCACAAGCACAATGTCGAGCAGAAGGAAGTCCACGACCCCCTGCATGGTGCTTCCGTCAGATGTTGTAGAGCAAGATCCTGATATGGAGGCTCTGGAAGGGAATGAAGGAGCTGAGAGTATGGCAGACGGTCCTACTGAGGGAGCAGTGGTTCCCATGGAAACAGAGACAGGTGAAGTTCACTTCTAAAGGCTTTTTTTTTGTGTCCTGGTTGGAATAGTGCTGTGTCCTTACCAAGTGCAACATTACAGGTTTATAGCGACCAAGTAACTTTCGTGTTCACATTAAGAGTTTAGATGCTGCAAAAATATATACAGATGTTTAATATACAGCTATGCTGAGTGAGATTTTGGACAAATGGAATTTCACAATGGGCGGGGCTACCTAGCAGAATGTAGTGATGGAAATTTTGATTCTTTCAAGAGATTTGTTCATTTTCAGTTCGTTCACCAAAATGATTCGTTCAGTGACCATTTCTTCATATTATATAAATACGCCAGCAGCTGGCGAAAAAGAGTCAACGAACGTATTCACTTATTACAAAAAACTGATTTGGCTTTATTAAAATGTGTGCATAATCTACTCATTAAATAAATAGTCTAAATAAGTTGTTCTGATGACCAAAGCACAAGGTTTTCTTGCATATTTAACATTTTAATTGTTTGGTCAGACATTCATAAATCGGGCATTAAACGTTGAGTTATGTTCTGTATGTTAAATATGAATATATAAACAAGTTTATTTGCACAGTACCTATAACTGCGCTTTGCATCTGCTTTCTGCTGATTGCTGATCGAGATTAACATGCTTAATGGCCGACTGACCCCAATACACTCTCATTCATTTCATTCACGAATGACATGTACCAGTTCGGTCATTTCGTTCACGAACGAGAAGATCTCTCTCTCGTTCAGACTAAAAAGAAACTCGTTCAGTGAAGGGCGTATTCGTTCACTACATTCAACAAATCACATGCTCCGTCACATCTCATACTCAAAGGCTATTGGCTCGAGGTTTAGTCGTTCTTTGACAGGATGAAACGGTTCACAGAGCTACCCGGTTCACTGATCTGCGCATGCGCTGCCAATAGCGCCGCGCTGCTCTGGAGGGAGGAATTTCAGTGAACGAGAAATATGAGTCAATGGACTACATGAACGAGAACGATTCATTCACCAAAAAGATTTGTTCAAAAAGAACGATTCGTTCACGAACGTAACATCACTAGCAGAAAGCAAAAATTAACAAAAACAAAGCAACCTCTTATCGCACATTAATGTTTGTGATTGCAGTTGGTTAGGACAAAAAGCAAGTCAAGATTCATGCACTTTTTAACCTATCAGACACTCGTGCACAATACTGATTCTAATCAAAGTAATCCTTTTACTGTCCCTACAGAATATGAAGGGATCCATTTCTCAAGTGAGGACTGTCGTTCTTCAGGAAAACGCTCCGGTCAAACACCACTAGAGCAGCCCATCTCTGATCTGACCGCTGAGGGTGGTTTTGTGCAGACAGAGATGGAAGATAGTGATGACCCCTCAGTTACTGGAATCCCTCTCAGCAAGACTCCTATAATGAAAATGAAAAGCAAGTCTGAACCCAAGAGAATAGCCATGTCTCTAAAAGGCACGAGTGAAAGTGAGGCAGTGACTGAAAGTGAGATGGAACTGGAGCCATTGGAAGCGTCAGTGATGAGCTCTTCCATGGCACCAGAACTCATGAGCCCATTGTTCACAGAGTCTGTAAAGCCCAGCGTTCTTGTCAATATTTCAAACCCTGTGGTAGCAGATCAGAAGAAGCTGGTTATGAACCCTGCGACGGTTCTTCCGGCCGGATTGGCCCAGGTGCTTTCTGCCTTGCAGGCCCAGCAGAGTGCTCAAACTCAACTTCTAATACCAGTAAGTAGTATTCCCACGTATAATGCTTCAATGGACTCCAATGCAGTCCTGGTCAACACCTACAAGAAGTTCCCCTACCCGTCGGTGTCTGAAATCATGGGACTTGCAGCCCAGACCAAGTTCAGTGAGGAGCAGATAAAGATCTGGTTTTCGGCTCAGCGTTTGAAGCATGGCGTTAGCTGGACCCCAGAAGAGGTTGAGGAAGCAAGGAGGAAGCAATTTAATGGCACAGTCCACACAGTTCCCCAGACCATCACGGTTATCCCAGCCCATCATCTTTCCACCGCTAATGGCCTGCAGTCTATTCTTCAGACCTGCCAGATTGTGGGTCAGCCAGGTCTGGTTCTGACACAGGTTGGCATGGCCAATAGCATCCCAGTGACCACCCCGATAACCCTGACAGTAGCAGGAATGCCCAATCAAAGCCAGACGCCCAAGATCGCAACCAATCAAACAAGCCCTGCGCTCAATGAAACTAAAAGAGCTACCACCGTTCAGCCCCCATCACTGACCCCTCAGGAGAACTCTGCACTCAGTGCCGATCACTTTGGCCTGCGGCCTAAGAAATCCAAGGAACAGCTGGCTGAATTGAAAGCAAGCTATCTGAAGAATCAGTTTGCCAGTGATGCGGAGATAGCTAGGCTAATGAAGTTGACCAACCTCACCAAAGGTGAGATTAAAAAGTGGTTCAGCGACACCCGATACAACCAGCGCAATTCTAAGAACACCCACGCCTTCATCGCGAATGACAATCCCAGGGGTAGTAGCAGTGCCACCATTGTTATTGACTCTAGCGACGAAACGCCACAGTCTCCGACGCCATCACCCGTGAAAGAGAAGGAAACGCGCTCCAAGACCTGGAACCCCTTCCCAGACTTTACCTTGCAGAAGTTTAAAGAAAAGACACCAGAGCAGTTGGTGGTCCTAGAGGAAAGCTTTCAGAAACGTGACACACCAACTGATGAAGAGCTTAGCCGGTTGAGGGCCGAGACCAAACTTACCAGACGTGAGATCGACGCCTGGTTCACCGAAAAAAGAAAAACCCCTGTGCCTGATTCCTCAGAGTCGAAAGCAGATGGTGAAACATCCCAAAAGAAGGGAAGCCAAACTCCACCTGGAGGAAAGAGGCTGAGCAAAGAGAAGGTTACTAAGAAAACACCCGAGCAGCTTCATGTTCTGAAGAATGCGTTCGTTCGCACCCAGTGGCCCTCGACGGAAGAATACGACCAGCTGGCTGAGGAGAGCGGACTGCCTCGTTCCTACATCGTCAACTGGTTTGGCGATACACGCTATGCCTGGAAGAACGGCAACTTGAAGTGGTATTTTTATTATCAAAGTGGAAACACGGGAGGAACGAATGGCAACAAAAACAGAAAACGGAGGATTCGAAATCGCGGTTGGGGTAGAACCCGTAGTAGAAAAGCGAAGAAGCACACAGAATCGGAGAAGAATTTGCCAATCAGGTTCAAGTCTGGACAGGATATTCTGAAGGAGTACTACTTGAAGCACAAGTTTCTGAATGAACAGGACTTGGATGAGCTTGTCGCCAAGACTAACATGAGCTATGAGCAGGTGAGAGAGTGGTTTGCGGAGATTCATCGGAAGGAGGAAATGGGTACCAACCCGTTTGAAGATAAAACGGGAAATGAAGAACAAGATGAGGAGGAGGATGAGTCACAGGGTGAAAATGAGACGGCGGTTGAGGAGCAAGGACCTGCTTTGGGTGATGAAGATGATGATGACACTGATGACAGCGATGCCTGGGAGCCTCCACAGAGCGTTCGAAAAACATTGTCCGTGTCTGAGGGTCAGTGATTTTTCTGAATTGGCTTTATTCTGAGCAATGACCCTTGGTGAAAAATGTTGGGTCTCGACCACATGCCCTCTACCACTGCACCAATTCTGCTTATATTTTACGTAGTTTCACGTAAGATTTGACAAGATCTTTTTAGCAAAACATTGAGGAGAACTGTTTTTGGTCAGAATGTTTGACTACATTCAAACCTTGAGAGATCATGCACATTAAAGGGATAGTTCACCCAAAAATGAAAATTCTGTCATTAATTACTCACCCTCGTGTTGTTCGAAACCCGTAAGACCTTCGTTCATCTTCGGAACACAATTTAAGATATTTTTGACGAAATATGAGGACTCTCTGACCCTCCCATAGACAGCAAGGTAACTACCACGTTCAAGGTCCAGAAAAGTACCAAGATGATCGACAAAGTAGTCCGTGTGACATCAGTGGTTCAACTGTACAGTTATGAAGCTACAAGAATACTTTTTTGCGCGAAGAAAACAAAAATAAGTCTCACACTCGCATCATGATACTGACGTGAAAGCGTGTCCACAAGTGACGCAGTAGAGACGAAAATGTGGAATAAAGTCGTTATTTATGTTTTCTTTGTGCAAAAAAGTATTCTCGTAGCTTCGTAACTTTACAGTTGAACCACTGATGTCACACGGACTACTTTGTCGATCATCTTGGTACTTTTCTGGACCTTGAACGTAGTAGTTACCTTGCTGTCTATGGGAGGGTCAGAGAGCCCTCATATTTAATCAAAAATATCTTAAATTGTGTTCCGAAGATGAACGAAGGTCTTACGGGTTTCGAACAACACGAGGGTGAGTAATTGACAGAATTTTAATTTTTGGATGAACTATCCCTTTAACAGGGTTGTTTTTTTCCCCTCTGCGGCTCTGAAGTGCAGCGATAACTCAAGATCCCTTGAATGATAATAATAATGTCATGCATACAATTTGAACTTATGTCCACCAGAATTGATCATGCACCTTAACCCTTGTAAATGCAAAGACATCCTAGGCCTCTATATGGTCTTTTAAATGGGCTTTTTTCATTTGGAGTCAAATGGAGAACACTTAGTGCCAAAGGTATAGTATTGAATGTTATGGTTCCCTTAATAATGGACACAATAGCGAATTAAGGGAATATGCATGAATACATTGTCAATTAGACACATGAGGCACTTTGTCAACCACCCTGATGTACGGAACTTAAAAAATGCAACCAGCCACCTTATTTGTGTAGGGCGAGACCAAACATTGCAAATTGAATTTCCAAATTCAGTGACACTAAAGTGTTTTATCGTCTACATACTGACCATGGATATCTGATATACAGCATAGTACATCCCAACAGGAAGTTGTAGGTGTTCCTGTAGTTCTGCTGACTGCCACTATGGGGCTCATCTTCAAACAATAACAGCTAATACTCATCTTGTGGGGAAAGTTATTTTGTGGAAATGGTTGTAATAAACAGCTGATGTGACTATTTTGCCGTTTTTCAACTGGACAGTTTTAAGTATTTTCTCAAATTCAGTGGGAACATGGGGAATTCCCATTTTTTGGTTGTTGTTTGCCGTTTGTTCATTTTTGAAGTAAGATCTCCCTCAGATTTCTCTTCTACACAGTTCATAAAGGGGACTTTCATTTGCTTGACACCTTTTAACGGATCATGTTAAGAAAACACAATGCGTATTTGCCCTAATCATGAAGTGTTATGTTTTCCATCTCTATGACTGCTGCAGAATTTCTTTCTCTTTTGAGGAATGTGTTTCTGGTTTCCATTAATATCTTGGTATTATAGGACTAAATGAAACATGAACCATTGATGAATAATTACAGCGTGGGTGTAATTTGAGGTTGTCTGTTTATAATATTTGTGCATGAAAACAGCACTATGACTGGTACTTTTAAAATCGCCCCTGTGTAAGACATTCACCATCTTCATTATATCAGCATGCATCTGATGGAGTGATGAGGGAAAAAATGTTCGGTTTGTACATATAGCGTTATGCTCAACCAGTAGTTTAAATCCTTTTATTATAAGTTTGTATTTATAGTGATGTTAAATTTCACCTCTACACCAGTGGGTCTGCGTGTATGGCGATCATTCAAATAATTCGTGTGATATTTTACTGATTTTTCAGAGGTCCGTGTTGTATTTTTGTTTTACGTTCTGGATTTCTTACTTTTTGGTAAATTCATTTGACTTGCTTGCATCCCTCTGCATTTTCCTGTGAATACTGTAGTGTATTTTAGGCAAGAGGTCAAAGGTGCCTCTGTGAACATGGTAAGTACTGTTTGAACAAAATAGCACATTTAAACTTAGCAAAATGTGTCCTCTCCACTGTTAACAACTGATCCTTACATGTTTTTAAGAGTTTGAGAGCCTTACTGGGATCTTGCTTTGAATGCATTTTAGTTTAGAATCAAACCACAGTTAAATGTTGTGCTTCCTTTCTGCTGTCACTAATAGTGTTTCAAAAATGGTCAGATTCAGACTGTTTCTAGGCTCTGAAAACAGATTTTTACATGCACCAATAATAGTAATACAGATCTGGAACCATTATGGATCGTGATGTGAAACTCGTGACGAGCCTTAAAATCTGTAGATGCCGCTGTGGTGGCAAAAGCTTTATTTCCCAGAGCCATAGGCCTTGTGCAATGCTTTTTATTTAATTGAACTGTTTTAATAGGCTTTTGCTTGATTTAGACTAAATATATATATTTTCTACTTGTTTGTGGACAACACAATAAATTTGGATGAAATAAATAAATGCTGTATGCTGTTCTTTTTCTCTTCAAAGTTGGTCTTTTCAATAAGTGGCCTAATGGCATTACATTCTTCTTTTTAATCTCATTAGTAATTGAGACAAGATTATAAAATATACTGGCACTATGGCATGAAACATTTTAGTATATCGTTACATTTTATATAGTCAATTATAACACTATCACAGTATACTAGAGAGTGAATTTTACTTTTGGGCATACAGAATAAAATCACAACTCTATATGGTCGGGTACAGGTGAAAGATATGCTTTAACTATTCAAAAATTGAAATAACGCAAAAGAATATTCTGTGAATATTTCTCTAATATATTGAAGAATACTATGTAAAAAAAAAAAAAAAAAAAGTGTGTTATTGCAAGAGTGAGTCTTCAGACAGAGGCACTTTTGCATAGTTCAAATGTTGAACAAAAAAATGTAGTTTCAGGATAACTAATGTCATGTGTGCTAATGGGATTTTTAATATAATAAAATGTAGCCTATAGGCTATTTGTAATGTGATGATAATGACTTTAAATTGATCAAAGTAAAAAGTTAATGTTTCTGAATTAATATACGTAAATACCAATGCTTTGGTAATGGCATATAATAAAACAACTCTCAGATCCCGAAGAATCACTCGAATAGACATCTTAATATTAAACCACCAACTGTGAATCTTTTATTTTGAAGCGGTTGAACAGTGCGTAGCCATTTAGCCTAAGCGCTGGGCGGAGCGACCAATGAGTGCTTCTCGTGACACTCACGTGATTTGTAAACAGGAAGTGTCTGATCTGTACTGCAGAGGGTGAGTGACTAGAATCTAAATTCAACAAACAAAATATAATAATGTAAACCTATTTTATATGCGGTTTTTGGCTATTATAGTGCATCGCTTCATTCATAGTGAACCGTATCTGGTGCATTCAGACTGTTTGATCAATTTTGAGCAAAATATTTTTATTGAAATATATTATGAAAACAAATAATTTGAGGTCCGAGTAATGACTGTATGTGCGTTTGTAATGATAGCAGTCAATTACGTGGGTGGTACGCAAAAGTAATGTTTTTTGTGTTATTGAATATCATCAGATCTGGCCGTCACTGAGGAGACTGAATGAATCTGTTTTCTTCCTCATCATGGTGGACTTTCTGGCAGAGAACAACCTGTGTGGTCAGGCCATCCTGAGGATCGTGTCCAGAGGAAATGCCATCATAGCAGAATTACTCAGACTCTCCGAATTTATTCCTGCAGTTTTCAGACTCAAAGACAAGAGCGACCAGCAGAAATATGGAGACATAATCTGTGATTTCAGCTATTTTAAGGTACCCTAATTGTCATCTTTAATTATGTCTAATTAAATGAACTTGATCTGGGTTTTCTAAGAGGATCGGATAGATTTACAGTAAGCAAATGGTTTTGATATGAATCTGTGTTTTCTAGGGTCCGGAGTATTATGAGAGTAAACTGGAAGCAAAGCCAGAGCTGCAGGATTTGGATGAGGAGTTTCGGGAAAATAACATTGAAATATTAACACGGTTCTACCTGGCCTTTGAGAGTGTCCATAAATATGTTGTAGACTTGATAAGGTGTGTGTTGTTTTCAAATGCATAACATATCGGAAAATTTGGACTAAATAATTTTGATTGAAATTCGGGGGAAATTCAGATCATCTTCTAATGGCAGCTCTATTAGTATTGCAATTATTTAAATGTATTTATTTGACATGATGTTCCTCTGTTATGCTTTGCCGCAAAGATCCGATGTAATTTTTCTCCCTAAATCAAATCTTAAATTATTTATTCATTTAAAAACAATGAATTGTTTCCTCTGAAGGTACTTGGATGATCTCAATGAAGGGGTCTACATTCAGCAAACACTAGAAACTGTTTTATTGAATGAAGATGGGAAACAGCTCCTGGTAAAGTCTGGTTTCTGCTTCCCTAAATACAAATAGGAGTTAAACAGGGTAAATGAGTTTATAAATGCATGTGATTTCTGTCAGTGTGAGGCTCTGTACCTGTATGGAGTCATGTTACTGGTCATTGATCAGAAGATGGAGGGGGAGGTGAGAGAAAGGATGCTGGTGTCCTACTATAGATACAGGTATTTTACCTTATACCTTTGTATTTTTTGGAGGTGATTTGTTGGCTTCGACAGCTCACAAGCAGCTCCGTTGAGGTGAAACATCTCAACAAATGGACAAACACGTCAATGTGCTACTGAATAAACAATATTTCTCATCTCCTCAGTGCTGCTCGCTCCTCGGCTGACTCAAACCTGGACGACATCTGCAAGCTCCTACGTAGTACGGGATACTCCAGCCACCCGGGGGCCAAACGGCCGCCCAACTACCCTGAGAGCTACTTCCAGAGAGTTCCCATCAGCCCCACCTTCATCAGTATGGTGATCGGTCGCCTCCGCTCTGATGACATTTACAACCAGGCAAGACAGTGGTGTGATTTAGGTCAGGGGTTTTCAAACTGGGGGTCCTCAGAGAATTTCAGAGAAAAATAGTTTTAAAACGCATATAAAAATTTATATTAATAGTAAAATTAGTTTGATGATGCTAAATTATTTTATTCTATTGACAGATAAAATGAAATCATAAAATAATCAGAATGGTTCAGAAAAAAAACAATAATAAAATAAGTTTGGTAATGGCAAAATATTTCATACTATTGACAGATAAAATAATTGGGAAGGTTCAGAGAAAATACTTTAAAACATATACATATATAAAAAATTTATAATAACATAAGTTTGATAATGACAAATTATTTTATTCTTTAGACAGATAAAATGTGTAAAAAAAACTAACCAGAAAAGTTCAAATAAAAATGTGTAAAAACTTCAATGATGATAATAATAATGTTTGATATTTACAAATTATTTCATTCTGCAAAAAAAAAAGAAACTTAAAGTTAGAAGTTGGAAAAGTAAAAAGTAAAGAAAAATAGTGTACACACACACACACACACACACATATATATATATATATATATATATATATATATATATATATATATCTGGTGTCCTACTATAGATACAGGTATTTTACCTTATACCTTTGTATTTTTTGGAGGTGATTTGTTGGCTTCGACAGCTCACAAGCAGCTCCGTTGAGGTGAAACATCTCAACAAATGGACAAACACGTCAATGTGCTACTGAATAAACAATATTTCTCATCTCCTCAGTGCTGCTCGCTCCTCGGCTGACTCAAACCTGGACGACATCTGCAAGCTCCTACGTAGTACGGGATACTCCAGCCACCCGGGGGCCAAACGGCCGCCCAACTACCCTGAGAGCTACTTCCAGAGAGTTCCCATCAGCCCCACCTTCATCAGTATGGTGATCGGTCGCCTCCGCTCTGATGACATTTACAACCAGGCAAGACAGTGGTGTGATTTAGGTCAGGGGTTTTCAAACTGGGGGTCCTCAGAGAATTTCAGAGAAAAATAGTTTTAAAACGCATATAAAAATTAATATTAATAGTAAAATTAGTTTGATGATGCTAAATTATTTTATTCTATTGACAGATAAAATGAAATCATAAAATAATCAGAATGGTTCAGAAAAAAAAACAATAATAAAATAAGTTTGGTAATGGCAAAATATTTCATACTATTGACAGATAAAATAATTGGGAAGGTTCAGAGAAAATACTTTAAAACATATACATATATAAAAAATTTATAATAACATAAGTTTGATAATGACAAATTATTTTATTCTTTAGACAGATAAAATGTGTAAAAAAAACTAACCAGAAAAGTTCAAATAAAAATGTGTAAAAACTTCAATGATGATAATAATAATGTTTGATATTTACAAATTATTTCATTCTGCAAAAAAAAAAGAAACTTAAAGTTAGAAGTTGGAAAAGTAAAAAGTAAAGAAAAATAGTGTACACACACACACACACACACACACACACATATATATATATATATATATATATATATATATATATATATATATATAT